ATAGAACAGAATAGAAATAGAATAGAAATAGAATAGAACAGAATAGAATAGAACAGAATAGAAATAGAATAGAAATAGAATAGAACAGAATAGAATAGAACAGAATAGAAATAGAATAGAAATAGAATAGAACAGAATAGAATAGAACAGAATAGAAATAGAATAGAAATAGAATAGAACAGAATAGAATAGAACAGAATAGAAATAGAATAGAAATAGAATAGAACAGAATAGAATAGAACAGAATAGAAATAGAATAGAAATAGAATAGAACAGAATAGAATAGAACAGAATAGAAATAGAATAGAAATAGAATAGAACAGAATAGAACAGAATAGAATAGAAATAGAATAGAAACAGCCTTTAAGTGTTTTTATCTGAATAGTTCAAGTCAGGTCAAAGTTAAAGTGAATTTAATGAAGTTTTTCAGCCTCTTTCAGCAGTAATAAAGTTTAAGCTGTTATTTTATTGATCATATTAGTTCCTGTTTAGATCTGAAATGTGTTAAATAGTTGCTGAATAACCGAATGCTATTAGGTTTGTTTTTATTTTAGCAAAAACAGTTGAAGTCATTGTTAGCTAGCTTTGTGTTAGCATGCTAGGTGCTAAGTCAAAGTCAGGGCAACCCAAGGTGCTAAATAAATATATTTGTACCCACTTACAACGTTTTCACACTGAATATCTTCATTCATACAGGCATGTGAAGCTTTTAGAGGAATGTTTTTATTTTCAGTTCGGGTCTGAGGCACAGATAAATGTAATATTGTTGAGCTGCTCCCCTCGGCCTGGTGAAGGTGACTCCTTCACGCAGGAACACTGGAGTCCACTCCACCTCTTCTGAGGAGTCCTCGTGCTCCATCTGGCACGCAGCCAGACACCTCGTGCGTGCCGAGCCGCGTATGTGTGTGCGTGCGTGTCACTGTGGGAGCAGGGGCCCACGGTACTACACGGTCTGGGCCTGGACCATCCGTGTAAACACAGCGTCTTCTAGTGGTCAGCGGGCAATACAGCTTCCAGTGGTCACTGCTTGTTTGGACACTGCAGCACAACACACACACACCTGCAGTGTTTAAATACCCACAAACACACCGCTCAGATCAGCAGACACAAATAAAAACTAATCAAATCAGTCAAGTTTATTATTAATATACAGCAGAGTGAATAAAGCACATCAGCATGATGAAAAAGCTTCAACCCTGTGACACCGGGAAGCTTTACATACACGAGTTTTTACCAGAAAACAGCAGGATTGAGTTTTCAAACTCATTCTTAGTTCATTTAGGACTAATTTAAATTATATTACTGAGCAGCAGAAACAATGTAACATTCAACCTGGTGATTTGTTCTGATTTAAAGGCTTAAATTGAAGCGAAAACACTAATCTGACGTATGGGAGAGAAGACATTTAGTGTTTCCTGGTTCACAGCAAAAACAAAAATTAAAATTAAAAAAAAAAAAAAAAAACGGCACACAGGTGACACCAGACATCAGATCATCACATCAAAACAAACAAAACTCATATTAAAAAGAAAAAAAAAATTGTATAGATCTTCTGGACGTCTTCAGTCTGAGAGTTTCAGGGAAAATTCAGGCTTTTAAGCACTGCTTCGCAGTGAATTTTCGCCTGAATTTTCCCTGAAACTCTCAGACTGAAGAAGTCTCTTGGAGAGACGAAACGTTTCTTTAGAGAAGAACCCGTCCAGAAGACCTATACTATTTTTTTCTTTTTGATTATTACTGAGATGCATCAGGACAAAACTCATATTATTTTGATCAAAATGCCTCCACTACACCTGACTGTTAAACACACGTCTGCACAGAGGTGATGCTGTGATTGACAGATAGGTGGGTTAGTGTGGGACGGACTGGAATGTGGGACAGCTCCAGGGTCACCAGGCAGCGGTCTGTGTCACACTGCAACAGTAATGAATGAATGAATGAATGAATGATAGGCGGGGACGCAGTCGGACAGGACCAGGCTCTCTGCTCGGCTCCATTAGGCGTCCTTCTTCTTGATGATGAGAGGTCCGACGTTGTCCCCGGTTTCCTCGTTGTGCTTGGTGTGGGCACCGTCACAGAAAGGAAACTGCAGGAAGAGAGATACGACGCTTTAAAAAGGGGACCTATTATGCAAAATTCACTTTTTAAAAGGTTTTTTAACTCAACTTTGGATATGTACTTCTTAAAAAAACAGTCCTAGGACCAAAAAAAAAATGCACCCAGGAGCATATTTACTGTAAGTAAATGTATTTTTAATGTATATTAACGACAAGTTTTATACTTCTGTCATTTTGTGATGTCACAAGCCGTACGACAACCCACCAGAACCTGCGTTCAGCCCCTTACCTAGCAAACCCCGGGTGAAGCTCCACCTCCTCAGTATAACAAGCAGTCACGGTGTTGTTGTGTAATGTGCAGCTCATTTTACAACAAACCTCCAATAGGGCAATGGGTAGTGTTGGACCAGAGAGCGGCACGAACAAAATTTAATATATATTTTTTTATTTTTGTTCGTTATGAACATGTTTTCTCATGTACCTCTATTGTTTAGCTTATTAAATCCTTGTTAAAACCTATTTGTTCAACTTTCTGAAGTATTTCGACCGTTGCTGCTCCCTGCTCTGGTAACAGCATGCAGAGTGAGCGCAGAGCAGAGGAGGGGGAGGAAAAAAAGAAGCTGGGACCACGACTCTGCCTCTGGGTCTGACTCAGGTTGTACAATGGAGCTTCTGCTATTATTAGCTAGGGCTGCCACAAACGATTATTTTTTTAATCGATTCATCACAGATTATTTTTTCGATTAGTCGACTAATCGGATCATACACTAATTGAATATAAAACATATATAAAATATATAATATATATATAAAAGAGCTCATCGAGCCAGAATGCAGCTACTATTATATAACCATGGTTAGATTTTAGCTATATGCTAACTAAAAATAATTGCTGTGGAAGGCAAGTTCTGCTCTGCAGATATTACACAGGTTTCTCTTTCATTTTCTTAAAATGATCCCACACTTTGAGCTCTGTTGTCAGGTAGCCATGATACCAGAGCCTGTCTGTATAATGTCTTGTGACGTCCACGGCCTACCCCAGTTACCACTACTGTGCATGTGTGTCAAGGACAGAAAGGTAGATGTGGCAGTGGAAGGTGTCAAAGCAGTTTGGAGAGAAAAACAAAGTAAAGATAAAAAAAAAAAAGAGGAAACGATTAATCAATCTGTCGTCGATTATTTTAATAATCGATTAGTCGTCGATTAATCGACTAATCGTGGCAGCCCTATTATTAGCCATGCTAACGTAAACGCTGGCTTTGGAGGGCGGAGTTAATGTCAACAGATTTTTGGAGGGCGTTACCAACAGAGCTCATTAACATAAACAGCTCTTCTGAACAGAAGTCAGAGCAGGCAGAACTAGAAAATGTGAAATTTTATTATCTGAGAATTATTTTGTGCATTAAATTAAATGAACATGGTCTGGATAGCCCACAGACATACCATAAAACATTTCTAGGACCCATAATTGGTCTCCTTTAAAACACCTTACACAATCTGTAAACGTTTCTAAAAAAAAATGCAGAAATCTAATGAACCTTTTTGGACTTCCAGCAGCGGCAGTACACAGCCTTGGTGCTGATGTCCTCCATGTCGAAGCTGTGGACAACTTTGGGGCTGTCTTTGCACACGCACGTGTTCACCTGGCTCTTCTTGCAGCACTTGCGGCTCAGGTAATGGCTGACCAGGAAACCTCCGGCTGCAGCAACGACCGCGACGGGCACAGCCACCAGAAAATGCTCTGCGGAGAGATGCACACAGGTTGTTTTACTCCGTTCACTTCACTCTGAGACACTTCACTTAGTTAGACAATGTTCAACTATTGGATTAACTTATTAGTCTAATCACTAAATAACATGTATTAGAAACGAAAAAGAAAATTTTCCCTACTGTAAAAAAAGTAAACTATTTTGTGGTGAAATTAATAATGTTATACAACAAGTTTAGAGTTAATAATGAACTAAAGCTGCCTAGTGTAAAAAGCTCAGACTAACACAGGCTGACTGTTTTTAAGGGATTTGCTGCAGACTCAGGAGTGAACTTGAGGCCTTGCTCTCAGTCTGGAGCAGCTTGTTTGAACTGTTTGACTCTTAAATATATCTGGAGCTGACTGACAGTCTGACACTACCTGTGACCGTCCAAAGATGCTAACACAACAGAGCTCAGAGCACTGCTACTTAAAGTGCAGCAAATTAAGTGCCATTTTGTTCCAAATATATTATTATTACTGTTAAAGTTTGTTTATGCAAGTTTACGGACAACACTGTGCTCCAGAAGTTCACTTGTAGCGTCAGAAGGCGGACATGTGCCCTTCACAACAAGCGCAAGGCACCCGTGATATAACGCTAGCTTCATGCTAATCGTTAGCTTCTTAGCTTTACCTTTGGTTAACCTGAAACCCGAGGAGGGCACCGCAGACATCGGAGGAGCGGACAAGTGCGACATAACGCCTAAACTTGGGGTGGTCTTGTGTTCTCTGGGCGGTGTGCTGTTTGCTGACAACACTAAGCAGCAAGGTCAAAGCTGAGTTAGCTTCTCACAACTCTGTCCCGGTCTGCAGCAGCGTCCAGTCAGGAAAAGATCATGGCGATGGAAGATGTTTACCCTCCCCGTATTTCCGGCTTCGCCTCGATTCACTGTTTGAAAACGGACCACCGAAAAATAATTAGGAAAACATCTTGCACTTCGCCCCTTTAAAAGATTTGCAAATAGCAACGTAATATTACATGCATTCGGAAACGGTAAAATGCTGTAATTGTTATTGGGAAGAAAAAAACAACACGTTCAAGGCGTTCAAACAAAATGGTTTTAACTGACATAGCCATCTTGAACGACTTTGAGATTTGGCTCACCCTATTGTTTGTGTGAAGTTGTGCCCATTATTTCAAAACTAAGAGAAAAAGATCTCGCTTGGTCTGGTTTGAAGTTCTGGAATAAATGAGTCCATTTTTAAAAGTTAGCTTTGTAAAGACAATAGAGTACCGAATGAATCTGTATAAATGGGTGAATGAAGGCGCATATTTCAGTATAAAAGCGCTTTGAGAAGCCTGGTTGGTTAGAAATGCGCTAAATATACATATAAATACATTTACCATCTTTATCTGAACTCGCAAGTATATATTCATGTAGCTATGCCACCGCCAGAGGGCGACAAATTTACTAACTGAAGACAAATATCAGCAGATTTGATTTATGAAGATCATTTTATAGATTTTTACTAAACTGTAAAACACATAGCCTCTCTAATCTTTCATCAGTTCAATTCAGTTTATTTATATAGTGCCAAGTCATAACAGAGGGCAGTGTACATGAAAAAAAGAACAATCTAAAGCCAGCAGATTGTGTTGAATCACTTCATCACAGGTTTATGAAAATATTTTTGCAATATTTACATTGAATTTATGAGGAAATTGATTGTTTTTCATGTCAGACTGCCTTGCATGTTTTAATTATTGGGTTTATTAATTGTATTTCATCTCAATAAAATATATGCAAATGTCCATGTAATAATAAATATGTATTTCTCAACAACAAAATACTGTAGAAGTCGTTATAAAATAAATAAATAAATAAAAATCTTTCATGTTTGCAGGGTTTCAAACAAAATACTTGATCGATTTTGAGATTTATCTCACCCCCTTTTTTGTGTTATTTCAAAACTAAGACAAAAGATTAAAATCAAAATCTCACCAGGTCTGGTTCAACTTGAAATCATAGTTTAATACTATTCTTCTACAAACCGTATTTTACTGATGTTCCCTTTAACAACACTCAATAAGTGTTTTGGGACCTGAGGACAGTGTTGAAGTTTATTGGTGGAATTCTTCTCCATTCTTGCTCGATGAACAACTTCAGCTGCTTTTCCTCTTTGGCCCGGAGGACACGATGTCCACGATTTCCAAAAACAACCTGAAATGGACTCATCTGACCACAGGACACTTTTCCACCTTGAGTCAGTCCATCTCAGATGAGTTTGGATCCAGAGAAGCCGGAGCTGTTTCTGATATGGCTTTGCATGGTTTTAACTTCCACATGTAGATGTAGAGATGATGGGAGGCAGAGCTTTCAGTTATCAAGCTCCTCTCTTGTGGAACCAACTTCCAGTTTCTGTTCGTGAGGCTGACACTCTGTCTACTTTTAAGATTAGACTGAAGACTTCCCTTTTTGATAAATCCTATAGTTAGACTTTTTTGTCTCTTTTCCAGAAGAAGATGCACCTGGACCAGTCCTGGACCAGTTCTTCTGTGTTTACCTGTGTCTCTTTCCTGTCCCTCAACCAGCCTGTCGAGGCAGATGGTCTCCTGTCCTGAGCCTGGTTCTGCTGGAGGTTTCTTCCTGATTAGCAGGGAGTTTTTCCTCTCCACCATTTGATGGGAGACTGTGATGAAGTGATTCAACACAATCTGCTGGTTTCTTCTTTAGATTGACCTTTTTATGTACAGTGCCCTGAGACAACGTACTTTATGTTGTGACTTGGCGCTATATTAATAAACTGAATTGAACTGAACGGTGTTCAATGATGATGGTTTTCTGAAGTGTTCCTGAGCTCATGTGCTAATATCTGTTACAGAATGCTGTCAGTTTTCAATGCAGAGCCACCAGCGATGGTTATAACCTTGCTACTTATTAGCAGAGATTTGTCCAGACTCTCTGAATCTTTGTATATAATGTATACATTGAGCAATGCTCCTAATCTGTTGGACAATTTGCTCACGAAGTGGCGAACCTCACCCCATCATCGCTCGTAATGATTGAGCCTTTCAGGGATGCTCTCTTTATACCCAACCATCACCATTCCTCAAGTTTACCCAACCTTTTGTTGACCCTGTCCCAGCTTCTTTTTGGAACATTTTTCCAGGCATCAAATTCATTATGAGTGAATAATAGCAAAAACACCAAGTGTATTTGATGGAACATTAAATATCTTGTCTTTGTAGTGTATTTGAATATAGGTTGGAAAGGTTTTGCAAATCATTGCATCCTGATTTTGTTTACCACAACATCCCAACCTCATTAGGATCACGGTTGTATAGAACTCCATGTTTGGAATCGTATATCTACAGTCATATGAAAAAGTTTGGGCAGCCTTGTTAATTTTCCTGATTTACCTTTGTAAATCATTGATTGTTTGGAAAAAATCAGTTAAATATATCATAGGGGACAAACACAGTGATATTTGAGAAGTGAAATGAAGTTGATATGATTTACAGAAAGTGTGCAATAATTGGCTAAACTAAATTAGGCAGGTGCATAAAATTGGGCACCAAAAAAAAAAAAAAAACAACCTAACCTAATGTTGAACTTGTTCCTCTGCATGAAGGCCTGTAGATTTTGAGCAGTGTTTAGGGTGGTTGTCTTGTTGGAAGATGCAGCCCCGGCTTCAGCAGCTTCAGCTTTGTCACTGATTCCTGGACATTGGTCTCCAGAATCTGCTGATGCTGACTGGAATCCATGTGTCCCTCAACTTTAACAAGATTCCCAGTCCCTGTACTGGCCACACAGCCCCACAGCATGATGGAACCACCCCCACATTTCACTGTAGTTAGCAGGTGTTTTTCTTGGAGTGCTGTGTTATTTTCATCCATGCATAACAACCCTTGTTCTGCCCAAATAACTCTGTTTTAGTTTCATCAGTCCACAGCACCTTATTCCAAAATGAAGCTGGCTTGTCCAAATGTGCTTTAGCAAACCTCAAGCGGCTCTGTTTGTGATGTGGGCGGAGAAAAGGCTTCCTCTGCATCACTCTCCCATACAGCATCTCCTTGTGTAAAGTGTGCTGAATAGTTGAACAATGCACAGTGACTCCATCAGCAGCAAGATGAGGTTGTAGGTCTTTGGTGCTGGTCTGTGTGTTGACTCTGACTGTTCAACATCCTTCACTTCTGTTTATTGCAGATTTTTCTTTGTTTGCCACTTGGAGCCTTGACTTGAACTGTGCCTGTGGTCCTCCATTTTCTCACAATGTTTCTCACAGTGGAGACTGAAAGCTGAAATCTCTGAAATAACTTTCTGTATCCTTCCCCTAAACCATGACGGTGAACAACCTTTGTTTTCAGCTCATTTGAAAGTTGTTTTCAGACTCCCACTCTTCAGAGAAGATGCAAAGAGGAGAATAACTTACAATTGCCTCCCTTAAATACCCTTTCTCATAATTGGAGTCACCTGTGTATGGAGGTCAAGGGTCACTGAACTTAACAAACCAAATTTGAGTTCCAATAATTACTTCTAAAGGTTTTGAAATCAATAAAACAGCAACGGTGCCCAAATTTATGCACCTGCCTAATTTTGTTTAACCAATTATTGCACACTTTCTGTAAATAACTTCGTTTCACTTCTCAAATATCACCGTTTGTCCCCTATTTTACAGATTTTTTTTATCCAATCAATGATTTATAAAGGTAAATCAGGAAAATTAACTAGGCTGCCCAAACTTTTTCATATGACTGTCTATTCATGTAGTTCTTGTCATCAATAGAGGGCAACAAATTAACTGAGGATTAATATCAGCATCATTTCAACTTCTTTTAATGATTTTTCCAAAGCATAAAACACATAAAGCCACTCGAATCTTTCTTAATTCCCTGAGGCTTGGTTTTACTTTTACAATATTTCCCAATTTTTACATTTATCAAATGGGCTATTTGTCACATCAAACTGCTTTGTGTTTTAAATGTTGCTCTGCTTCAACACATTTTTTTAAGCTGATTAAGTTTCTACAGAACCTGATGACATAAAGGAGTTATTTAAATCAGATGTGTTGTGGAGCAGGTACAGTGACAGAATGACCAACTGATAACTGTGTTAAAATGCGGTTGTAAACAGGTGTATCCAGACTATCACATTTCTTTACATTGTTAGGAAGGCGAGGCGACTTTGGGCGATGCATTCATGTCTTCTAAACGGGTCGGGAAATAAGTCAACACGGGAGTCGGAGGTTTTTATTACACAGTTTAATCAACACACAAAGCTCAACGAGCCTCTCAGGTAATTCAATATACAGAGGTTTTGTGCAAGAAGAGTGGGTTCTCCTCACACCCAGACCCCAAGCCAGTCCCATAGCCTTTTCAGATGTTAGCCGCTAATTTGACAATAGCAAAAGGAAAAAGGAGGGGGGGGGGGGGGGGGGAAAAAAAAAAAAAAAAAAAAAAAAAAAAAAAAGAGGAAAAAACAACCTAAAGAATGGGGTAGGACATAAAAACACAGGTTAAACTAAGAAAGATGAATTGCTTAAATAGCTGGTCCAGAACCTCCACTTTGAAAATAAAGAAAAGGTGGTGGAAGTGACATGGGGTTACAGCCGTGCGTGCATGTGTGTGAGTGTGTGTACAGGGGGGTCCACATGGGTAAAAACAGTTTGCGGTGAAGGAATGAGAAGTATGAGGTGTGTTAATAAATTCAAGTCCTTTTGTAGAATCCAACAGAAGCGCAAAAATAAAAAAGGCCATGTGCATTCCTTTTTACATTTTACACAGCCTGCAACGACTAATGAGTTTTTATGGTTTAAAAAATACAGAGTGCCCCTTTGACTCACGTGAAAATTGCTTTCTGGAATCGTCACCTCTACAGATGGAAATTAGGACAACAAAACAAGTGCAGAGTGTAAAAATCATCCCTCCATCCTTTAGTCCCCCTTCCCCTTAAAAACAATGGGAATAAAAAATAAAAACAAACGGGTCCCCTCAAAAGGTTTACAGATGCTTGAAGGAATGGTTTTCTTTATGATGGGTGAGGATGCAGGGGTGGAAAAAAACAAGAGGATCACTGTGAGTTGGTGACAGCCCAGCCTGCTTGGATGGAAAAAAAATGGAGCCAAAGCTAAACAAACGTGACCAGAAGAGGGTGGTGGATCAAGGAGAAACAGTTTTATAACTTTAAAGTTGACAATATGTACACCGGAGGATGGGCAGGTGATCTGAGAGGCGGGGGGAGGGGTTTAAACAGAGGGAGGAGACAAAAAGGGAGAGATCAGAGGGAGGTGGGGCAGAGGGAGATTTACAGGTACTCTGGTGGAGGGGAGGCGTGGCTCAAAGAAAGCACTCCAATGGAAACCAACAAGATCTTGATTTAAACTTTTCATTTGTTTGTATGGTTTTTGTTGTGTTTTGTTTTCTCTTTACATCTGAATCTCCACTAGCCGTATGTCGTAGAGGTGGTTGGCCATGTTTCTCCCCCGCTGCAACTACATTGCATACTTTTGTGTCCATTCCCGAGCTATTTTGTTGTATCTGTGAACAGAAAGAAAGAGAGGAAAGGAGATCAGTCTGAGCTGTTGTTGGATTAACTGTGTGGAGCTAAACATGTCGCGAATGTTTGAGTTATAATTCAACATGAACGACAAAATGTTGAGACTGCCGTCTCAATTTGATTAGAACAAAACATTCAGTCCCCCAGAAGAGTTTTAAAATTTGTCTGGTCCTAAAAATACTTATGTATTAATGTGATTAAATAAGAGTGGGTACATTAAATACTGTACCCACAAGATGTTCAAGGTTTCTTACTAGAATGATGCCAGAACAAGCAAACTAAAACTCCATTTTACTGTTCACTAAATTTACTGTATATTTAGTGGAGTAGGGGAGACTGAGGACAAAAGCAGGACTGTTGCAACACATAACTTTTTCTCCAAAGCTAGAGTGATGACACTCACACTGTGCATGCTCGGTTAGATGCCCCACCTTGCAAAGACAAAGTAAAGAGTTTCAAAAACTGCTCCAGGATTTATTTGGGAAAAAATGCTGTATTTAAGGTTCCAAAGTATTTTTTTTTTGCCTAGCTTTATTTTTGTTCTACTGTTGTCACTGTTTTTGTGATCCAGCTCAAACTTATATGTTATAAACAAGTGATATGTTGACTTTTAACTAATCTAGTTAACATGTATCCAGATGAGCTTATTTAGCTAACACATGAGGTTTTATCATGGCTGACAGGAAGGGGGACAGTTGCAACAGTTGTTGTAACTGTCCCCATATGATAAATACATTTAAAAACAGAGCACAAACAGATGACATTAAGATGTTGAAATTAAGTTTACACTTAAAAGGGTATTGGACATTTATGACAATTTTATAGTTTAAAACATAAAAGTGTTTAAGATGTATTTTCTTCAGTTGTTGTTTTCAACAATGGTTTTAAAATCCCAGTTTATTTAATGTAAATGTTACATAATGTAGGCGTACAGTGACAATAGACAAAACAAAAGTTAAATGTCTCACAAATTGTTCTGTTATCCTTATCTCTAAAAGTCAACTGTACTTTATATCAATTAGAGTCTTTGACATCTGTATATAAGGTCTACTCATCAAGGCTAATCTATATCCATCATTTGATCAAAAAGAATAAATAAATAACACTGTAATATCATTATAACTCTCAGTTCTTATAAATTTTGAAATAATATAAATATAAAAATAATAAAACTTTTATTTAAAGTGAAATACAGTATATTGTATTAATAATATGTTGTAACCACCCCCAGACAATGTTGCAACTGTCCCCGGTCTTCCCTACAACCACAACTAAATTATAACTCAAGTATTACAACAAAAATACAGTTTTAATTCAAAATACTGAGAAAAACCCAAAACTTCACGTTAAAGATGGCAACATTCTGATACTGCGGGAAGAACCTCAGGATTTTTACTCTGTAGCAAAAAAACATGCTTTAATATAATTTCTGGTGTTTTCTACAGAATAGGTTCTCAAACTGGGGTCCCTGGACCCCCAGGGGTCTGCAAGAGGTGTATCTTGTGGGTCCTCAAAATTTTTTATTAAAATGTTAATTTGGTTTTTGTTTTTAAAAATGCATGAACAATGAACTAATAAAACAAACATAATAAACTTAATAAAAATATATATTCCCATGGCATTTAGGGGTTGAAATGACAATAAATAATTTTTAGAAACAGCCTTTGGTTTATGAGGGGGTCCCTGGAATTTGTTTCGCCCTTGTAAGTGGCTCCCAGACCCAAATGGCTTGAGAACCCCTTTTCTACAGTGCCAGCAAAGGGGCATGGGGGATTTTTTCTTCTTTTGCGTTCCCACGCAACACTATAATTGTACTTCACAGTACCTTTTGCGTTCCCTTGCAAGTTGTTTATCACTGTTGTGCCTGTCGGTTTATTAACAAATTCACCTGCTCACAATTTAATTCAGCTTCAGAATGAATATATCCCACAGCCACGCATAGAAGTACAGCAGGTAAAATAAGTATTGGACACGTCACCATTTTTCTCAGTAAATATATTACTAGAGGTGCTAATGACATGAAATTTTCACCAGATGTTGGTAACAACCCAAGTGATCCATACATACAAAGAAATCAAACCATAAATGTCCAGAAATGAAGTTATTTGTAATAATGTGGAATGGCACAGGGAAAAAGTATTGAACACGCTTACTGAAATTTATCTAATACTTTGTACAAAAGCCTTTGTTGTCAATGACAGCTTCAAGACGACTCCTGTATGGAGAAACTAGTGGCATGCATTGCTCAGGTGTGATTTTGGCCCATTCTTCCACACAAACAGTCTTCAAATCTTGAAGGTTTCGTGGACCTCTTCTATGAACTCTGATCTTTAGTTCTTTCCATAGATTTTCTGTTGGATTCAGGTCAGGTGATTGGCTGGGCCATTCCAGCAGCTTTAGTTTCTTTCTCTGAAACCAACTGAGAGTTTCCTTGGCTTTGTGTTTGGGCTCATTGTCTTATTTGGGGTCATTGCCAGTACCATATGCTGAAAAACAGCCCCACACCATGATGTTCCCACCTCCAAACTTCACTGTTGGTATGGTGTTTTTGGGCTGATGTGCAGTGCCATTTGACCTCCAAACATGATGTGTATTCTGGCATCCAAACAGTTCAATGTTGGTCTCATCTGACCAGACTATATTCTCCCAGTATTACACAGGCTTGTTTAAATGTTGTGCAGCAAACTTTAAAGGAGCTTCAACATGCTGTTTCTTCAGCAGTGGAGTCTTGCGTGGTGAGCGTGCATACAGGCCATGGTGGTTCAGTGCATTACTTATTGTTTTCTTTGAAACAAACGTACCTGCTAATTCCATGTCTTTCTGAAGCTCTCCACAAGTGGTCCTTGGCTCTTGGACAACTCTTCTGATAATTCYTTTCACTCCTCTGTCAGAAATCTTGTGAGGAGCACCTGGTCGTGGTCGGTTTATGGTGAAATAATGTTCTTTCCACTTCTGAATTATGGCCCCAACAGTGCTCACTGGAACCTTCAGAAGTTTAGACATTCTTCTGTAACCGATGCCATCATTATGCTTTGCAACAATAAGGTGTGAAGGTCTTGAGAGAGCTCTTTACTTTTACCCATCATCAGATGGTTCTTGTGTGATACCTGGCCATCATTTTGGACTGAACCAGCTGATATTAAHTTGCACTGACAAGGGGCAGGCTTGCTTTCTAATTACTGAGAGAGTTCAGCTGGTGTCATGGCTTTCCATGCCTTTTTTACACCTCCCTTTCTTCATGTGTTCAATACTTTTTCCCTGTRCCATTCCACATTATTACAAATAACTTCATTTCTGGACATTTATGGTTTGATTTCTTTGTATGTATGGATCACTTGGGTTGTTACAGACATCTGGTGAAAATTTCATGTCATTAGCACCTCTAGTAATATATTTACTGAGAAAAATGGTGACGTGTTCAATACTTATTTTACCCACTGTATGTAATATACCAATATTTTGCCAAAGTGTAGTCACGCAACATCAATGTCAATTTCACGAACTTGTGGTGTCACATCCTGTTTAGGTAACCAGATATTTAAAAAAAAGTCTGATTTAGTTCAGGTAATACAAAACAAACTTTTGTGTGGGAATGCAAATGTTTGCGAGGTAACAAAAAAAGTTTTGCAAGGCTAGAGGTAATGCAATAGTATTGCGTGGGAACGCAAAAGAAAAAAATCCTATGTCCTCTCGCGGGCTCTGTAGTTTTCATTGTTTTTATTTATAAAAATAAATGCTCATGCCCATGTCTTTGTACTCACCTGCTAACACAAAACAATGGATTTAAGATAAAAATATTTCAATTGTTTTTTAAATTAAAAAAACCACCTGCTCACTCAAACATGAAAACATCAGATTAATAAAAAAGTTTGAAAGAAAATTAGGATTTTTTATTCTTTAATCCCCATTTTATTGGCATTAATCACTAACTGGAACTGACCAGTAATGAATACGTAACAAAGAATGATAAAGTCAAGGTTTGGAGACATTTTAAGTTAACTTTTAGAGGTGCATTTTCATCATCATTGGGAAAGTCAGGAAACAACCTACTTTTCCCTGTCAGTCTTGTAGATGCGGGCGATCTCGGGTACTAAGGGGTCGTCCGGGTTCGGGTCACACAGCAGGGAGCAGATAGACAGGAGAACTAAAAACACCGTGCACAAAGGTTAAGATTTTCATAAATACAAAACAACATTATATTTCCAGTGAACAGCCCTGTGATGCTAACAAGGCTGGACAATTGTCACAAATATAAAACTGCTACTAATACAAGCAGGAGAAGCTCAGCAAGAGAGCTGTACCTGCAGTAGCTATTTGTAGTAAAGAAACATTGTAACAAACATTTTCTGCCAGTTCTAAATTTTGTTTATTAAAACAACAATTTATTTGTTGTTGTCTGGAGCAGATAGAAGAAGCAGTTTACCTTTGGAGATGGTGAGAGCCGGAGACCACTGTGATCGCAGAATGTCAAGACAAATGCTGCCGTTGCTGTTGATATTTGGATGGTAGATTCTTGTGGTAAATGCAACCTGGAAGCATAAAAAAAGGGGGGGGGATCAAAGTAGGCACTTGAAGGAGGGTCTAGCAGCAGCATAAAATGAAACTGAACAAAGTGAAAAAGTTTAACAGGCAGGAGGAACACAATGTGGCTCACTGTTACACTGCATGTGTTGCATTTCTAAATCTACTTTTGCATGTATGCTTACCTTTGGCGGTTTGAAAGGGTAATCTGTTGGGAAGTGTATGGTCAAGAAGAAAACCCCACTCTGGTAAGGACTGTCATTCTAGTGCAGAGAAACAGAGCCGGTTTGGCACTCAAAGCTTTGACAAGTTCAGAACAATATTAACCTGGGAGGATGTAGTAAACAAAACACTTTTAGCTGATAAATGCTGATTCTTCTCATCTAAAATGAGGAAAGAAAAACTTTATATCTGAAGACACTCAGGTAAAATAATGGTTAGTTATGATTTAAATCTAATAAAAAAAAGAAAAAGATCAAAGTGAACATTTGACAGTGTCAGTACTTACAGGTCCCATTATTGTTGCTTGCCAGTGAAACACTGAAACAAACAGAAAAATGTGATTAAAACAAGCATTTTAATATGTGCTAAAGAAAAATAAACAAATGATGTTATGTGAAATGGTCTTATTAGGGCTTGCCAATGCAAATAAACTGACATTCATTTGAATGGAGGCATCTATTATCCACCTCAGAAAATTAACTTTATATCTTTTTTATAGTTGGACATTAATGGCAACATGCACCTCTACAAACGTTACATCAAAACGACCAACTTGGTCTTGAGATGTGTGCCATTAATTTTAGTGATAAAGTACATTGCAAAAACCTGCAGTCAAACAAAACCTCAGAAATACAATGAACTCAACTTTCAACTGAAAAAAACAAAACAAACAAACAAACAAACAAATAAAAAAAACAATAACTGCCACACTCTGGGTCACGTGACTTAGAGTGGAGAGCTCTCTGGCTTAAAATGATTTCTTAGCAAACAACTTTGTCCTAAATCATGATACACACAAATAACCAAGAACGGGCTTGGAGAAATTCTGAATGAATTTTGGTGTGGTTATTGATGACAGTTGATCTCCAATAATAAACTCAAAGCTTAATTTTAACTGGCAAGCCCTTTCATAGTTACTCCAGTAACTATTCTACATCATTTGTATTATTTGTATGGTCAAGTAAAAAGATCAAATAAAAGTAAAACTCTACTTCAGCGCCCTGTTGTGAACAAATGTCTCTTAGGAAAATAAAAAACAGCAATTACACAACACAAAGAAAACACTGTTGTAGCTGACTGTAAAGTGGTCTTTTTGAAGTTTGGTGGCAGGAAATGACGAATGAAGCAGCACTGTTACAGATTTCTCTCGCGGTGCAGTTTTAGTTGTCTGAACGTGTCACAGATGAGCCACAAGGCCCAAATATTAAATATGAGAAAGTGTAAATCTTGGTGAGTTTATTTAACACTTACTATGTCTGACCTGAGTTGTCAAATTTACAAAGATTTTTTTTAGGTGGTTCCTCCCCACAAATATAAATATATATAAAATAAATATATCCTAAATCCAATTCAACAGAATTTCTGATTTTATTTATTGTATAGCAGGTACATCTGACTATTTAATACTGTTTTAAAACCCATTTAAATGGTTGTAATTGGGTCCAAGTTTACTTATTCAGCACATTTAAAAACCTCAGTTACCAAAGTGCTGCACAAAGCGTTTTAAATACAAAACTAAAATTTACAAATGTTTAAAGCCAAAACCCTGCTGGCAACAAAACTGAGGTTGTAACAGCTTACAGATAAGTGCTCATTTCCTATCAGGCTTATATATAAGCAACTGGATTTCCAAGAAGATGAATACAAAAAACCTTTTCTTTGAAAACAAAGGTTTTATTGATTTGATTTATTGATTTAACAGGAAAAGATTACTAAAAATCAAGCCTGACTCAGCATAATTGCTGTTTTACAGCAGGTTCCTGTTCTGCAGCACATAAAACACTCAGAATTACAGCATCACAATCACATCATTATACACCATAGACACAAAGACAAACAAGCATACCAAAGAAACAATGTATAAGGATAGTGTCCATATGCATTAGTGCAGTGGTTCCCAAACTTTTTGTCTTCTGACCCACAAAACATCCATGGAAAAAACTTGTGACCCCAAATATTACTGGTCTGAGTACATGAATTTCGTTTATAACCCTAAAAACACAGGCTTTTTGACAATCTAAACAGCTTATACAAAAATATAAATACTTACTTTTACTTATTTTGTGTTTTTGTAATAATTATAGGGAAAATATTACATCAGCAATTATTTTATTACCCTTTAAATTGATTTCTGGAGATTATCCAAGGTGCTTCATGACCCATAATTGGGTCCCAAGCCCAACTTTGGGAACCAAAGTGCAGTGGTTCCCAAACTTTTCAGCTTTTGACCCACAAAATAACAGTAGCAGAGACCTGTGTCCACAACTATTTTTGGATGATAAACATTTGCATTAGGCCAACTAAACATGGGCATAGTAACAATATTTTTATACTACATTTATCCATTTTAAATAAACTAACCTCACTCCTTTGTAACAACTAAGGCAAAAATGTAATTAATTCAGAAAATCTTTTCAGGACCCCACCTTGATGTTTCGGGACCCCACTTTGGGTCCCGACCCCAACTTTGGGAAACACTGCATTAGTGCATTAATATGACCACATCTAAATGTGTGAATACATGGTTTTAAATGTTTCAATTTTTATGAAAACTTTTTAAGAAAATAATACAAAGTAAAATCTGTACAATGTGTGAAATACTTTAATGTATGTTCTGTAACCTGCTGGAGTTCAAACATGAAATAACTAGGGGTGTAAATCTCCAGCTTTATCACGATAAGATATTACATCGATATGTTTGGATGACGATTCCATATTTCTCTATAACACAAAGTCTGTCACAATACGATTTTGATTCAATTCAATTCACATGTCTGCGATCGATATAACGCAATATCATATGTCCATCTGATGGTGCGTTCACACCAAACGCGATTTCAGCTTCAAAATCGCAGCCAACGCTGAAGTCTGAAGCTTGTGCACTTTGAGGTCAGACGCAGGACAGTTGTTGAAGCGCCGCACGGCGACAGCCGCCCCGCCCCTCCCTCCTCTGTCGGGCTCCGTTTAATGTCGGACGAGGAAGTGGCTTTGCTTTATTTACAGACAGCCAGAACGTGTCACGTTCATCAGATAATTAATTCATAATTAATTCACCAGATAATTCAGAGAAGAGGCTCACAGCTGCTTTCAGGACTATTTTTTTCAGTCTGATGAGTCGCTGTCACGCATTGCTGCGGATCAGGACACGACTGCAGCACTCATTTTAGCTAAAGAGCAGGAGCTCCGTCTGTTTCAGGTTAGTGGACCTCATTCAGTAAACTGTCCCGTCGGGAAATATGTCGCTACGTCACACAGTGGAGTCTCTCTGATTGGTTGACGCTGCGCGTCGAGCTGCAAAAGTTCAGATTTCCCAACTTCAGCGATTTGGACGATCTGAGCGTTCGACGCTCAGATCGTCCAAATCGTTCAAATCGCGCTGCTCTAATCGCGCTTGAGGCGCCGCAGAACTTCCCGACGTTGCTTGAAGCGCGTCCACCATAGACTTTGCATGTAAACCTGCTGCTCCTGACGCTGAAATCGCGTTTGGTGTGAACGCACCATAACACAACGACTGTGTTAGGTCGGCTTATGATATCAATTCACACTGAGCATATGATGACGATATAGATATTTTCATTTTGCCTCAATATAACTGAATCATGAACCATTCAAATCGATACATCGATATAGATCAATGTATCATTACACCCCTAGAAATAACTTTGTGGATTTTGGTCCCAGGTATTGAAGACAGAACTATCAGCTTGCCCCTACAGTCTGCTGCAGCATTACTGTTTCTCAGTAAAATGTACTCATCATATACCATATACTTTACATGGAAATGCGTGTGAAGTCAGTGTGTATATTTCAACAAATATGCATAGTGGTACCATGATGTTGGTCCTTCCTTCAAATGCATCCAAGTCCTGTAAAAACACCTATTTAAACTGACCACACTCATTGATTATCTATAATTACTTACTCCTGTACTTATCAAAGACTTTCAGCTAGATAGATCATGTGTGGAAGAAGTATCTAAACAAACAATATCAACCATATTTTTTATAAATAAATTCCATGTAAATAAATTGAGTAAATTCCTCTTCAGGATGCCACAGGAGACAGTCGTTCCTCTTAAACCTTCCCTCAGCCCTCATACAGAAAATGCTTATTTTGTCCAGTTTGGATGCAAACCAGGTTGTGGCAGCTTGTTTACAGAGCTCAATTTGAGTAACCTGAATAACCTGTTAAAGGCAAAGCCCCAATCCAAAATACTGGCCTTGAAATTTTGCTCAATGGTGATGGTTTACAGAACCGTTATTAATACCACACAATGTGCTTATGATTAAAAGCCTTGAATTGATGGCACAATGGATAAAGATTTGGGATAATTTAAAACCAAACAGCGAAAGAACTTTAAGGTGTATATACCAATAAACTAAATTACCTAACTACAAATGGTGCATCAATGACTGATCACCTGAAAAAAAACAAACAGCAAGTTTCTATATTAAGACCACAAAGAAATCGACTCTGGAATGGTTTTGTGTTAAAATTTGTTTATAGGGCTGGGCAATTTTGTCAAAAAAATTAATCAAGATAAACTGGGGGTATTTAGTCGATAACGATTAATTTGACGATTAATGCCTGATGGCATTAATCGTATTAATCATCAAGTGCCAAAAATTAGTCGATTAATGTTATTCTGACGATTAATTGCACACGATACGATTATGCCCAACCCTATTTGTTTACAAGTGAAAAATCTCTAGAATTCCGGTGCTGACTGTACGTTACATGTTTACGCTGTTATGCTGTGCTTGTTGAAACTCCTGTAGTTTCCATGCCAGGCCACTATCTGGCGCTGTGATGTTTAGCTTTCACTGAGACGCGCATGTGTGCAGATACTCCAGTCTGGAGCAAAAATCAGTTACATACTAAATGGTGAATATACAAAGCTTTGTTTGGACCGAGGACGAGGTTAGTCTGTTCTGACATGTTGAAAAGTATGGCTACGTTCACACTGCAGGTCTTTTTGTGTGAACGTTCATATTACATTTTAAATGTGACCTGCATCAGACCCCTGCGTGAACGCAACACAGCACTGATGTGACACGCATGCACAGTAAAAGACGTGACGTCTCATCAGCCGGCTTGTTTGTTTACAGAGCTAGCATGGATGCTACATTTTGCACATCCAATCGGAAGTTGTTGTTTAATCAGAGCCGATTAAATAATTATCTGACCTGCTTCTTTAGTTCAGTGTTTAAATCTGAACCTGCCTCTGACCGGGATGCTCCAGTGA